GGGGCGGGGCAGTACTGAAACACAGTCTAAGCTGTTCGCCAATCACAACGCACTGGGACAGCTAACCAATCACATCACATTTCGTTTTTCGGAAGGCGGGCCTTCATCAAACCCGGAACTAATCGAGCCGTTTGTGCCAGGATGGGGAGAAAGCTATTGTAATAATGTATAATATGTAAAGAATAATGCGTTTTTCGAACCACCAAGCATGAGAGCATGTTCTAGTACACCCCCAAAACAAATTCAAGACATTGTAAAAGAGCATAATAGGACCCCTTTAAATTAGAGCCATGACTAAAGAAAATGTTTCCCTCCCACCACATACTCCAGTCTATCTCATCTATCTGATCACTATGAGTTTCCTGTAGGAAAGCAATATTAATGGTTTTTTGTATGTATATATTTAGATAGAGCTGCCCTTTTATTTTTTTCCCTCCCTCCATTTATATTAATGGATCCTATTTTTAAGCTCTCCATATAAAGAGGGAAAAAATGAAGAAAAAAATAGAAGAACAAAAAGGAGAAACAATTTCAAATGGAAGAGAAGATTCACCCTTTGTGACATTAGACAGTCTTAGTTAGTCTTGTAGCTGCACATTTTCCTTTCCTTAATTTTGTTACAATTTTCTTCAGTCTAAACCTTTTCCTTCTACTAAGTTCCTCGAAACCTACTGATTTCTGTATTTTTATTACTGAAATTAAGAACTTGTTAACATCTGGAAAAAAACTCTCTTACTTCAAACTTTCTGCCAAAAGTTTCATCCAGAAAATCATTGATTTCTTTTACAGTGTACAATTGTAGTGATGGTGAGATGAAGCCTTATGAATTGAAGCTTTTCATCCAAGTGGTTCACAAAATGGTTCATTTCTCGAGGCTTCATTTGCTCACAATACCACCTGGTGGCCAAAGAGTGTAAAACATGCAGATACATTACAGAAGATGACCTGATGTGATCTATGATCCACTGTTTTGCGCCAGTTAAGGCTTAGAAATAACGGTGAAAAAAAAAAAAAAAATTTCCTCATAGACTAATCTATATATATGAATATAATGTGTATTTTATAATGATTGTATAACATAATACAACATAATTGTGTAATAATCGTATTGGCTTGAAATGAATGGGGCTATCAAATGTGTGTAAATCAAGTCTTCGCTCATAATAGGCAGGAGGGGCAATATTATTAGTCTAAAACTGGAAAGTGGCTGAGTTTAACAGGGCAGAGGACTGTGAATATACAATATTCGAACCGCTTCCTGAACCAGTCAGGCCAAGCGAGGCTTCGGACGTCATCGATGACGTCATTGCTCTAAAGCGACACAAGCCTCGATACGCGCTTCACTGAAAGCTGCTGGTGTTGTGCTGAATTCTGCACCCCTGCCAGATTATGCACCCCCTCGTTGAAGTCGCTACCTGATTGCCTAATCCTGACCCCTCCCCCACACCTACTCCTAAACCTACCAATACTAGGGGGTGCATAATCTAGCAGGGTGCAAATTTCGGCACTACACCGGGATTTCTCGGCACAGAATGTAACATCACTATACAACTATTCATCCCCACACTGAGAAGGAATATCAGACATTTCAGACATATTATCATCATCATCACCTTCCTCTATTCCATGATCAATTCCCTCTTCCTCTATCTGTGAAACAAGAGTGATCTTCACCTTTTTGCCCTATATTTTCCATTTCAAAAATACAATTGGCGACAGACCTTTGTGCTTCAACACTTCTTCCACTGTTTTCCTCAACTACTTTACTTACTATAGGCCTACTTTCACTCTCCTGCACAGCATCACAATTTGAATCCTCATTTTTTCCCGTATCAACCTGATCTTTCCCTACTTCAATTCTCTGCACTTCTTCTGTTGGTAAAACAACTTCAGTTCCATTTGCATTTTCATTTATTTCAACTTGCTTTTTGTGTGGACATGGACAAACATTTTTCTTATGTCCAATATCTCCACACTCAAAACATTTTAGGCTGCCAGTATTCCCATAGATCACATAGGACTTCCCTTCATACTGAACGCGAAAAAAGATATCTGAAGACGATGATTCCAAAAACAAACACTTGGCGTCTAAATGACAGTACGTGTTTTAATGCTTGATTCTTACAACCTAGCGGAATCATTTTTATTCCGCTAGTAATTTTCCCAAACCTGAGTAATTCTCACTCAATTTCACAGTTAGGTATGAACGTTAGCACATTAGAAATTGTAACTTTTGTTGAAAGCGAAACCAGCGTGAAATAACACATAAAACACCACTTACCCACACTCCGCTCTCAGTCAACCGACCAACCAAACTCTGCTCCTTCAAGAAGATCACAAAGGCCTTGTTCATGCGCGAGTGTGAAACACTTCCGTGAAGTTGGCACCCCATAAAAAGAAATAATCACCAAAACTATGCCATTCGTTTGTGCTACGTTTGTGCGGATTTGTGCCGCAAAAACGAACGTTTGTGCTGGTTTGGTGTTTGAGTTATTAAACATTACTTTTTTGACATTGTGACGTCACTCTCCACCCCATGTTGCCCAAATCGCTCCAAACCGTTTGGAGAGTGACGTCACAACTCCCGAAAATATTTTGGTTATATCTAAGGAAGGAAAATAGATACAGTTTGTTTTAACGGCACAAACGGGCACCAATCGAGCACAAACAAACTGCGCTGGTTTGGAGCGATTTAGGCAACATGAGCTGGACAGTGACGTCACATGGTCAAAAAAGTTATAATATCTAAAAGTAATTTAATATCTCAAACACCAAACCAGCACAAACGTATGGGATGATATTAGACTCTAAATGATTAATAGATGCACGCACAATTATTCATGTACTGCATAAATTTAATACTGGTGTCCTGTTATTCAATGTTATGCTTACTAAGACCGCAAGAGGGAGATAGGACGAGTGGGGTAGAGAGGAAAGGGAGAAAAAAGAAGTAGAGTGAGAGACGAGACGTATGTGTGTTAAGAATTGTTATTAAAGGAGTTATGTGACCCGTTCAACTGCTGTGGCCTGTCTTCATATCGCTACCTGAAACACGACCATGCGTGCATTAATTGACGTCTAGTTCGAGTCGATCTTGTTCGGTTAATTTGGATTTTGAGACTTCTTTTCGCAGTTTACAGCATTTCACGTCCCCCACACACACAACTACCAACGAACAAGGCCCAGTGCAATTCATTCACGTGTACACGATTTGAAAAAATATCGCAAATGTGCTCACCAGGGGCGATTCTAGGACTTTCATTTTAGGGGGGCTCAGCCCCCAATGAGGGTATAATATATATATATATATATATATGGGTCAAAGACGAAAAAGGGTTTAAGCATAAAAACAATAAGTGTAATACTGCTTTAAATTGTTGTTGTTTTTCCCCCCCAAAAAATGAAAAAGTTTTCTGTTTAATTTAATTGCAATTTTGTTTTTCTGAGCAAAATAATAAATATCCTACATTTTCCCCTGATTTACAGAAGACATCCACTAAAATGTCATTCAGTGTAACAATCTTGTCAGGCATATTTACAACAAAAATCAATTTATGACATATTAAAAGATTAATTAAATAAAAATATAATTTGATAAATAAAATTTGCCACTATCCTAGGTTTTGCCCATTTGTCAGTAAGTTTTTACTACTTTAAAATACAATAAAATTTAATATGCTCCCTTATTCTTTTATATATTTTAATATGTACACATCAGAATACGCATGTTGTTGAATTTTTACATAAATATTGTGTTACACTGAATGACAATATAATGTAACATTATTTCAACCAAATTTTGACATTTTATCCTCCAAAAACTTATTTGAAACCTTAAAAGTAGACAATTTACTTAACGTGCTTTCTATGGACATAAAATCACTTTTGTAAATTTATTTTGATGCGGACATCTTAACGTCTTTGACCCATATATATATATATATACTAATAGGGGTGGTATACTAAACTTATTGCAGTATTCCACTGTAGGCCTATTGCATAGATAGGTAGGCCTATAACATTTAAATACTGAATAAGCCAAATACAAGTCTTCATTATAGCCTATACTATAGCCCCCCTGGCCTAGCGACGCCCATGGTGCTCACTACACTGAAACAAATGCTTTTCAACCGGTGTCTGCAGTTAAGAATTACATTAATGTGCAGCATTTTGTTCAAATAGAGACATATTTGTGAATACAAATGTTATAGTTTGTATTAAAGTATCATGATTTGTGCATGTATTAAAATGTGCATTTGTGGATTTTTTCTTTCTGTAATTCAACGGCACGTTGTCAGTTATTCCTTCCTTGCATTATTATTATTATTATATATTATTATTTAAGAGCAATTTTTGAAGGAGACACAAATAATACAGCTAAAAATGTATTTGTAAGGACAAGTATACACAGCTTTACTATTATTAGTGCAGCAGGGAGACCGTGCCAAATTAGACAACTCGAAGCTGTTGTAGACACATTACTATCTGTCTAGCAGGTAACGTTATTATTGCTAACATAGCGGACTCGTCGAAAAAAATACATTGGCATCATCTACTAAAGGGAAATGAATCACTTCATCCGATGTTTAAGTGAATAAAATAGACTTGACAGTCGAGTTCCACAACTATTGACTTTATTCTCGCTCACCAGATTACCCAGCAAGCAATAGCCGTCGTTTCAACGTCTCGTAGTCAGAGCGGCTACCTGTAGCCCACTTATAGTCAAAGCTGATTCACTGTAGTTTTTGGCCAGGCAGCGTATGCGATGGTTGATATCCCATCATGTTCGCAGTGTCAATAATATCTAGCATTATTAAATATAGCATTATTTATTATTCATACACATTCAGATATTATTGATATTCGGCTGTCTTTCATTGAACAGTGAACTTAAAGGAAATTATTAATTATTGGTTTTATTTCACGAATTTAAAATGCTTCCCAACTGCTTTGGTTATTTATAGAGGTTCTCTCTTGTGCTGGTTGGATAGATGGTGTAATTACTGATGATGGACTGGCCGTGTTAATTATCTGCGCGTGCTCCTCCCGAAATTTAACAAAACATCACACAGTGAGTTATTAAGCAGATTTTAATCGTACTATTTCTGCTATTACCATAAACCACTTTAACTTTGACTGTAACCATAACAACATAAACACTTTTGTTAATGTGTCCTGCGTTTAAAAAAAGAATCTGTATATATATGATTACACCATAATTTGTCACACAAACACTAGACACTGAAGTATGTGGTTTGTGCTTTAATTTATCACCACCCCATCTTCTCTCCCATTCAAAGCAAATGTACACACAAAGTAGCTACAGATGCTTTTCCTGGGTATAAGACCACCAGTTTAATAAAAGAAAAGCAGTTCCTTATTACATTATGAGATGCACAGTATCTTAAGAGACATTTCAGAAAAATATAATAAAACAATGACGCCAGGAGACTTCTTGCAGAAAAACAAGGCTTTGGTAGTGACACAGCAAGATCTCTTCGTAACAGAGAGAACCCAGAGCAGGGATCTCAAATGTGTTTTGCTCAGGACCTGTAGTGTTATGTACCGTAGAACATGCTTTGACATCATATCCTGTGGAACAGAACAGGATCTAGCCCATGGTTCCTTTCCTAAACCTTTGGAACTAAGAACAGGGAGAAAAGTACTCATTTACACTGCATAACTTATATATACAATTTTTATGTGTATAAATAAAAAATACACAGAGCAACAATTTACAATGTTTCTTCTTGGGAACTTGTATAATGAACGGTCAGCGTACATGATGATCCCCCTCGTAGTTTTGGTGAAAGAAAGCATAAAATCAAAGTCCCTGTGCATTCTAATGCCCTGTGCCGCTCAGAATGAGAAACAAATCCACACAATCATAAATAAAGACATCATTTCAGGAAGAATATTTGTTTGCATTACAGTAATGAGAAATTGAGGTTTGAAATGTACTCGTCATGAAAATAATCACAATGCTGATATGAATGGTCCTACATTACAGGCTTGCTTTATTTCTGCTCATATAAAACTATTTCTGGTTGGTTTCTTTTGATTACACACTAAACATACACTAAATCCCGCCCCTGTTCTGGCCCGAACCCCTTCGACGGGTTGACGGGCTCGTCCTCCTCCCCGTCATAATCCTCGCACTCGATGGGCTTGGGACAGCTGTACGGGTGGCCGTTATCGTCGAAGAAGCGGCGGAAGGTGAACTCGAAGA